TAAAAGCGGCATAAAACTGAACTAAACTGTTTTACAGACACTGCAGCCCGTGAAGATCCGGGAAAGAATTGATCTTCAGTGACCCATGCTTGTCGTAAAAGGCAACTAAGGGGATTGGGTGGTCAGGAGCGCTGACTTGGTTGACACATGCCATCATGTCCTAATTGTGTCCATCGATGCTCATGATGTTTATGAGGGGCGGTGGGGTAGCCTAGTGGTTAAAGCGTTGGCTCGTCACGCCGAAGACCCAGGTTCGAATCCCCACATGGGTACAATGTGTGAAGCCCATTTCTGGTGTCCCCCGCCGTGATGTTGCTGGAATATTGCTAAAAGCGGCGTAAAACCAAACTCAGTCATGATGTTTATGACTGCATTGTCTGGCCCAGACTCGAATATTTACAGACCGCCGCCATATAGCTGGAATATTGGTGAGTGCGGCGTTAAACAACAACCAAGCCAAACTATCAGACACTGCATGACGTGTATATAGTGTGCACTGGTTCTATTAGTGAAGATAACAGAGAAATAATGATATATTGTAGATTATATTGTGTATTAATTGGTTTATTTGAAAACAAAAATACGCTGTTCCATTCGACTCACGCAACACGTAATGTCCAAACTTCCTCGCTCCTTTAACACAACACGCAATATTTCCCGACCTTTCCTCGCACCTTTCATCAACACAACAGATGACGCTCAAACTTTCCTAGCGCCTTCATCAACACAACAGGTAATGCCTAAACTTTCCTAGCGCCCTTCATCAACACAACAGATAATGCCTAAACTTTCCTAGCGTCCTTCATCAACACAACAGGTAATGCCTAAATTTTCCTAGCGCCCTTCATCAACACAACAGGTACTGCCCAAACATTCCTCGTGCTTTCCATCAACACAACAGATAATGCCTAAACTTTCCTAGCGTCCTTCATCAACACAACAGGTAATGCCTAAATTTTCCTAGCGCCCTTCATCAACACAACAGGTACTGCCCAAACATTCCTCGTGCTTTCCATCAACACAACACGTAATGCCCAAACATTCCTCGTGCCTTTATATCAACACAACACGTGATGCCTAAACTTTCCTTGCGCCTTTCATTAACACAACGCGGAATGCCCAAACCTTCCTCGCGCCTTCATAAACAAATATTCAGATCACTCGATAACCTATTACATACGATATTTTTTACAAGTTAAATGTCGTCTACATATTGAATATAGAACGTCAGTGCAAAATAATACCCTGTCTTGACTATCCTCCGTTTGCGGTAAAGGGAAAATTAGCAGTGAAATGAATGGAACACTGAAAATCAGTGATGACACCAGGTGTTCGCGGAAAGCCAGATGTCGTCTACATATTCAATATAGAACGCCGTTGCAAAGGAATACCCAGTCTTAACTATCCTCAGACACAAATTCCGTTTGCGGTAGAGGGGGAAATAGCAGTGAAAATTACATGAAATCAGTGGACACCAGGTGTTCGCGAAAAGGGTCAGCATGTCCTGCCCCGGTAGTATGTTTTTACCTGACCCTGCACAGTCCTTCTCCTACCATGCTACCGCGGCTTGTTAAGGAACCAGGCAATCATGTGATAGACCGGAAAATAGTCAGATAATTTCAATTACAACTACTGTGTAGAAGTACAGAGATTCCAGTGCTTATAAGTAACGAAAAATGTTTCGAACTAGCTTCGTTTTACAACACACTTGGGTCAGTTTGTATGGACAACAACTCTTATTTGGTTCGTGAAGCAATACACGAGTTATCTGCCTTAGTTCTCACAGACACGCTTACCGATCAATATGAATGGAGTTTGATACATCAGCATGATAATAAACTAATCTGTTTTTATTTGTTAAAGCGCGAAATTGATTTTACATGCCGCTGCAAGCAGTATTTCCTTATACAATGAACATCTGTTGCTGATATAGAGCATGAAAAAAAGTGTACAAATGCACAACTACCCACAGCTCCGAGTGTAATATCCAACGTGCTCGGTTAAAACGAGCATCGGTCAGCACCAAAGCATAAATAATGTTGAAAATATATGCAATGAGAAGGTGGAATTTTGTTTAGTAATATTGATATTTACAATATGATTACTTAAATAATATAGATTGGTTGAATTAAAAAAAAAACATTTATAAAATTTGTAATATTAACGTTTATAATATACTCTCCCAAAAAGAAACGCATCATGAAAATAGCAATTTCATGTATGAATTAAAACGTGATCCATTTTACAAAAGGTTTTGCTCTGTTTATGAGTCCTATGGTGTTTATGTTTTGAAACATCACAACAAAACGCACCATCCGTAAAATACCCGTATTTAACAGCATGATTTTCAATTTCGGCGTGTAGTGTCACAGAATACACAATTCACATGCAATGCACGTGAAAGTTGGGGATCAGATAGTCTCAATGATGGGTATAAAAGGTTGATCGCTGTCTGTCGATTATTCACTGTATTTGGAATATTGTTGACGAACGCAAAATGCCACGTCTAAGTGAAGCCAACCGTCATATCGCCATTGGTTTACTTGAAGCTGGCCAGTCTCAACGTGCAGTTGCCCGACGCATGAATGTTCACCAAAGCACCATTTCACGGCTCTGGGAGTGATATCGCCGGCAGAATGCGGTAGCAGATGCCCCTCGTAGTGGGCGACCTCGAGCGACCACTGCGGCACAGGATCGCTACATCCGGGTATATCACCTGCGTCATCGAACAGCTACGGCGACCAGTACCGCTCGACAAATACCCGGATTGAGGAGGCTTCTGCACAGACCGTCAGGAACAGGTTGAGAGAGGCTGGTTTACGTGCCAGAAGACCTTATTTTGGCCCTGTGCTTCGACAACAACATCGTCGACATCGAGTTCAATGGTGCACCAACGTTCAGGCCTGGAACCTACCGAATTGGCGTAGAATCTGGTTCAGTGATGAATCACGATTTCTAATGGAACGACGCGATGGAAGAATGCGGGTGTACAGACGTCGACGTGAACGTTTCGCCGACGCTTGCGTTCCCCAGGTGGACAGATTAGGCCGGGGCAGTGTTAAGATGTGGGGAGCGATCACCTGCCGTAGGAGAAGATCCAGGGCAACCTGACAGCTCAACGGTACTGTGACGAAATCCTACGCCCACACCTCCTTCCAATCATTGATCGCCAGAGGGAGTTGTTTCAACAGGACAATGCCAGGCCCCACACAGCACGTCACACTAGAGACTTCCTCCAGAACCACAACATCAATGTGCTCCCCTGGCCCTCAAGATCACAGGACTTTAACCCGATCGAACATCTTTGGGGTGCCCTGGACAGACGGGTGCGACGCCGTAACCCTCAGCCCCAGACACTTCAGCAACTCGCACAGGCACTACAGGCAGAGTGGGCTGCGGTTGGGCAACACGAGATTCTGAGACTTATTCGTTCGATGCCGAGGCGATGCCGGGCAGTTCTGGATGCCCACGGTGGTCACACGAGGTGTTGACTTCAGCGCCACCACACGTCTCTATGTGACACTCAAACTGACTTTCCTCGAGTTGGTGCCAAAGACGGATAAGTCTGCATTCCCAGTGTGCAATTTCGCTATATTTCATTGACCCATAAAGCCTACAAGATGTTTCAAAATAAACATAAAAATACAGTTGAAATTCCTATATGCGTTTCTTTTTGGGGAGAGTATATAAATAGCAATGCTGGAAATATAAGTAGTATTAACGTTTTCAGTATTTAATTTTAATGTCTAAAATACATGTAATATTGTTCAGTCGAGGTTACATGAACAGAAAAGCATTGATCACGATGAAGCACATTATACCCTGTAATAAAATGATATTTGCGACTTGGTTATAGAGTGAAGCCTCATTAATTCAGATTCCGTTAACCTGGACGCTCCTCTCATGGAAATTATTGGCTTGGACGTATGCATGTCGTCAAGATTACATTAAACGTTATCACTAATTCGTAAATACGGACCCTTGTTAATCCGCATTCTGATCAGCCGGACACCCCTCCTATCAGGTATTCGCTGGGTATATGCACGTCGTTAAGATTACATTACACGTTGTCACTAATTCGTAACTACTACCTTGTTAATCCGCATTCTGTTAAGCCGGACGCCCCTCCTATCAGGTATTCGCTGGGACGTATGCATGTCGTTAAGATTACATTACAAGTCATCAATAATTCGTAAATACGGACATCTAATTGGGAACAGCGCCGTCCGAATTGAAGGGGTTTCATTGTATCCGAAACTCACTTGCTGGGACTATATTCACCGTCATAACGAACACTGAGATAGGATCATGGTTATAGGAATGACAAATAAATGAATTTGATACTTATGACCATGAAGTCATTGAAAACTTTCCAAACACACTCACGCTCTTTCAGATTGACGAGAACTTGTTTTGTTTTATATCAGTATACAGCTGTCCACTTGTATTCGGCGTCATGCTACAGTCTAGAAGCAGCTCAGTTTAATTTCACATACCATATATTTTATGTCATGGTGAAAATAAATCAATGTAAAATAAACACATGGCCTTTATCCGTGCTTGTCGACTATGTGTATTGTCATCACGTTTTCATTGATCATGTGTATCCGTTGACATCGTAGATCTAAATGTCATACCTTGTCCATGAGCATCCAACATACAGGACAAGACGGAGCGGGTCACAAGTACCAACGCGGTGCTTATGGACGCCACTAAAGGCACTGAAGGAGACGAGGTCAACACAGGCCCTCTTGTCTCTGCGAGGATTATTTAAAGATTCTTAAAAAATATATAAAAATTTGAGATGACCCCCGACTCAAAATGATTCACAGTACAATACATCATGATGTTAACCGTCTCGAAATGCTTCACAGTACAATACATCACGAGGGCCTGTGGAGGTCAGGGGCCGATACAGCTTTTTTGAGAAAGGGGAATGCACAGTTCATTTTCACCCGTTTTCACGAGTTTCAATGGTCATTTAATACACTTTCAGGCCAAATAAAATATTTTTTTAAAAAAGGGGAGGACCATTGCACATCCCCCAACCCCCTTGTATCCGCCTATGCAGGTGGTACAAGCCGTGATATTGCTGGAATATTGCTAAAAGCGGCGTAAAACTATACTTCCCAGACACACTCACAGTCTGTCCGATAGACGGGAAATTCCACGGATACAGCTGTCACATTGTTTACGCCATGATACAGTCAATACAGCAGCTCAGATTATATCACATACCATGGCAAGGTGAAAAGAAACCAATATCAAATAATCACAGGGCCTTTATCCGTGCTTGAGCATGGTGTATTGTTTTCTCCTTCCGGAAGTATGCGGTCAGGATTATGCGCGTGCTCATCTTCTGTTGGCGACTGAAGCAGGACATAGCCTGGTTGCCTGGGGGACTTCACAATTACCACGCTGGAAAATACATGGTAGTATAAATGTTACAGTAACGTCAACATCGGCTTAGGTAATGATTTCTGTTTACTACAAGAGTGTAAAATTGGTTGAGAACGGTCCAGCATTTGAAGTTAACCTAAAATTAGAACCGTTGATTTGCAGATCCCTGGCAAAAGGCAACTCAGGGAGTAGCTCTTTAGAAAATGATACGTTTTGAAAAAACACCACCAATACTTATTGAACGTGCGATCATATACATTTGGACTGGATATTTTACTACATGGGTCATTATGGTGGTTGTTGGTTACGTACATTTTCACCATGGCGGCCATGAACACGACGCCCGCGATAACAAGGAACGCCATCCCTCTCATGGTCTCTACTGTGGCGCTGTACAGAGAGGTGAAGGCCGTACTCCCTATAGCTCCACACAGGGTATCGACGGTAGCCATGCTAGAGAAGATTGCACCTGGTGCAGAAAAATATGTTAGCACATTTATCAATAGTCTATCTCACAGTCCATGACCTGCTTTATTTTCCCTTCCGCCCAGTCTTTACTGCTAAATTCCAACATGAAATAAGTCTACATTTCGTCAGATTCAGGTTCCTATCTCCCATCTCACTGGGGCTCATTTTCAGTTTAAAAGGAAATGTTTGTTTCTGTCAATATCATGTATATTAGAGACTAAGCGTTAGTTTAAGCTATCAACAACAACATCTGTTATGGAACTCACAAACCCTAGTCCAAATAGGCCGAGCGCACTCTTAAAAATGCCTTCGAGACAGAATTTGGGTTGAGGCAATATGTTGACGATATTGTTCCAACTCGCGAAAATTATTGCCAGAAATTTCCAACTGTACGATAACAACGCCAGATAACTCCTGGCCATTTCGGCACCTATTTTCTCCGAAGAGAAGACAAATGGGCTGGGCCTAGATTTTCGAAGCTCTCTTAGCGATAAGATAGTCGTAAGTGCCATACATTGACATTAACTTACGACTATCTAAGAGAGCTTCGAAAATCTAGGCCCTGGTTCCCTGAGGTGTCCCTGATACAGCGCATCTTTAGGATGTTCTCTGGTTGAAAGTGCACGCCACCATCTCGAGGTAGCTCTTCAGGTGCTATGAGAGGCAACACTAAGGGAAAACGTTATTCAGCAGTGTGACACCAAGAACTCATACACCTGTCACCGACTATGGTTGACACAGCAAATATTGATCCACATGCCCGCAATATATTTTACAGACATTTGTCATCATGACATCTTCACTAAGTCTATCATTTCATCAGTTCTCTTACTTTTTGTCGACTGTGTAGTCACCACGTTTTAATTGATCATGTGTTTCCGTCGACATCCTAGATCTAAAGGTCATACCTTGTTCATGAGCAGCCACCATGCGGGATAAGACGGAGCGGGTCACAGGTACCGACACGGCGCTTATGGACGCCACTAAAGGCACTGAAGGAAACAAGGTAGTAGAAGCATCAATCAATGATCTCTCAAACAGGTAAGAGGGCGACAAAGGTCATGCAAATGAAATCAACGCACTATGACAGCACACAGACGGCTGTGTATGACAATATGGTTGGAAGGTACGCGACCGTAAAGCGTCATGTTTTGACATGTTTTTCTACGTATTCTTCTGAAGGTTTCCAAAGAAATTTCCGAAGCTGGAACAACCTCCCCGAACCCCAACATCGACCCTCTCCAGCTACCTCTCCCTCTCCGGATCCATTTAACCTCCTCTTACTCGAAGCATTGGTTGCTTGGGTCCACATGTTGTAAACTGAATTTTGATAGGTGACTAGTGTAGCTAGTTAAGTACAATTTATTGTCATTGTCAATAATCTTGTGAGGTGCCGTCTGTGGACATTAGCATGTAATGTCATGCTAAAGTTTCGATGGAGTGAGTGAGTTTAGTTTTACGTCGCTTTTAGCAATATTCCAGCAATATCATGGCTAGGGACACCAGAATGGGCTTCACACATTGTACCCTTTTGTGGAATCGAAACCGGGTCTTCGACGTGACGAGGGAACGCTTTCAACACTAGGCTACCCACCGCCCCATTCCAATGAACATTAGAAGATTCAAAAGGCAGCAGGAGATTTAGGATTCCTTCAGCATGCATGTCATTATTACTTTTCACTCATGGAACGAAACATTATGTGCGTAGTACCAGGTTCAACACTGCTATCATATGCTTTCAGGAAAGGAAATGACGAATTGACCCGAAAAATCACAAATATGTTTGCAATAATCATGAAGGAAAATTTGATGACGTCAAGTCATGGAACAATGACAAGTCACTACACTGGGCATAGTACTCCGGTTAATATGAAGCAGGGTTTACTTGCTCAGTAGTAGTTACAAATTTGTCCTATGAGTGCATCCAAAATGAGAGTTCATTAAATACTCTATTCGCTGTGGAGATTATTTGGGTGCGTAGATGCAGTATCTAGAATTTTTTTATTATATACATAAAGACATAAATGCTCATATTACCCGAATACAGCATGGCGTCTGTGCTGGCCAGGCCTTCCAGAATGAGAGACCCCATCAGTAAGAACATCCCTGTTACAGCAAGAATCTCCACCCTCACGCACGCTGACCCAAGCTTGATGGCAACGAGTCCGCTAATGGTCATGAATACTGTGGAATAGGCACCATAGTAACCTATCTTTACAGGATTCCAACAGAAGGGTCGACCCAGCTGATACAATGTCTCAATCGTATATTTACCATTAAACCCAACGCTCATCAGAGCATAAACCGCCAAACAGGCAATAAATATGCAACGCTTATTGCCTCGGCTTTTGTTGACGTAAAATCCGAACACTTTCTTTAAATGAACTACAGGCGAAAGTTCCTTTACCTCCGTTTTCTTTACTGTTTCCGTAAGGCAAAATATGACGATGGTTGTGGCAAGAAGGATTAAAGCTGTATTAATGACTGATGGGTAGAAGTAGCCAAGCTTCTCAATAAGGAATCCTGTCATAACCTGTCCTAATGCTATGGCGATAGACACCGAACTATCGGCAATTACTATCGCAAATGTTCTGGTGGCGTGGGTCTTAGTCACGTCGGCTGCATAGGCCATGTTGGCAAGAACGAAGGTGCTCGATGAACCGGAAAAGCCCTCTAGAAGAGTCCCGAGGATGAGGAAGTTGAGATGAAGATGGAACTTGACAACCAGTATGAAAACTACATATTTACAAATACATCCTAGCAGCGGCGAAACAAACAACAGCTTCCTGCCGATGTGGTCCGAGTAAGACCCCACGACCATGTTGACGATGACCGGGGGAATCTGAACACACAAACTGAGTTTCAAGATCTCGAAAGACGTGGACTGCTGAACAAGCACCTGCACCTCATCAGCTTCCTCGCTGTTATTAGCGAGACACGGTGATTGTTTATTTGGCGATGTTGACGAGGAGTTTGTGCCGTTACTGTAGACGTCCTCATAGCGGGAATGGATGTACTGGGTGAACACGGGGACGGAGGAGACATTGGCACACATATACAACATCAGAACCACGCTTGATATGATCCTCTCCTTGATGTAAGACTTGGGTTTGTCTTGAATATGACTAGGGTTTCCATTTGACGTTACATTAGGCTCTTCTTGTACGCTGTCCATCGTTACCGGGTCGTTAGTTCATGTCATAAACAACTTCATTTTAGTCTAAACTGAACCGTGTTTATGCTCGCTCTGTCACCGTGAATCTGACACAAAATGTGCCAATGTTTATCATCACATGATGCAGAGGCGTTCCTGATTCCCACTAGTAGTTGGTGGTTAATTTAATCTGCTGAATGTTAATGTACATCACGAGATGGAGTATGACAATGCACCATCTGTTGCATGGTTATATGGAAGAGGCAGATGGTTCAGACCCACGTACAGCAGCCGTGCTCATATGCAACCCACTGTGTACTTATTTGATGACGGTGATGAACTCCTATTGCAATTTGGTCACACAGTAGAGTAAAGCCACCGACCCGCCCTTCAGATGCCATGTGCCGGCAGGGAACTAGCAACTAATGTACGCGAATAAACGTCAGACAATGTACTGACAGGTACAGGAAGAAATTGATTATAAAAATATCTCATAACTCTAAATTTATTTGTTATTAGTATCTGGTTATGACACACGGAAAAATGAACAAACACCAAGAACAGGAATGTATATTGCATTGTCGATAGAAATCATATGCATTTTAAAGCCACAGGCAATATCCCAATGACATGTGCTTTAATTGGGAAGAACATGCAGCGATACGTGGGTTCCAGTAATGATTCGGTGTTTCTATCTGATTACAGCAAGCTAAGTATATATTTACTAGGCGTCATTAATAAAGGGTCAAATGCTATAAAGCACATGTAAAGAAAAATTTCTCAGAAATAATAGAACTAAGAGTGTCATAATATTTAATGTGTTGACAAACGTGACGCATCGTGACATACAGACAAAAAGTTCAAACAGCACTAGCAAACATCAGCTGTATAGACCAACCCCCTAAAATGAAAATGCCAAACTTGAAACACTCGGACATTCAATAAATAACTTGTGTACCCTCCCGCGCGTCCAAGACACAGGTGCGCCTTGTTCTCGGGCTCCTTATCAAGTTCATAAAGACAACTTGCGTAATCGCATTCCATTCCTCTACTTGAGTTCTACGGAGTCAAGGGAGAGCCACTGGTGCTGGGTGACATGTGTACAGACGTAGACCGAGTTCATCCCAGGCATGTTCAATTGGGATGAGGTCTGGTGAGCATGCTGGCCACTCCATCCGCTCTACACCCTGCTGCCTTAAGAATTCCGTGACAATTTTAGCTGCGATTTCAAACAGGTACCTGAACAATGACCGACAGTGAACAAGCATCAACGCATGTGTATTGGCCTCTACTTTCCTTGGATAGAGCGATGAAATTTATTTATGAAATAAAGCTTTTGTCAGGCCCTTATCTCTCTCTGCTATTGTATATACCACTGTTTGAACCCCCAGTTAACTTGCTGGTCACTATGACGAACCAACACTTTCCTGAACACGTGATGCTATTGTCGCACTATGTCGTGTTGACCTCGAGGAAACAGTTTAATGTGAATGAGCTGGTTACAGGATACTATTGGGATTACTCATTATTTAAGTTTAGGAAATCTAGACTTGCCACATTTTCTAGACCCGCGTGGGTTTCTTGGATATATTTGCTTCAGGGTCTGTATGACAGACTAGTAACATCATATGCATGCACAATATTGCATATATACAAATATACGAACATTAATTATCTGACAAATATGATGAAATTTGAAATCAGCAAATACACAAAATGAGCGTTAAATGTCACACCAGGAAATAAGTATTTATGTGCACTGTGCATTATACATAAATCCATACAATTGTATAATTTCTTTCACATGACATAATAAACACATTCACAATCCCACCAGATGAGAAACGGCATCACCATAAACAAGCGGTGAGATGGCAACAGTCAAGAGTCTATGTTTCTCAAGGTCTTTCTTCAAGGTTCCGGTAGTGAACTCCACTTACTTGAACAGACTATAATTGTGCAGGTACTGGACTGTTAATCCTAATCCGCTTGTAGCCAATTAAAGTGCAGGCAAAAAGAGAATACACCCTAGAATATTATAGGTGGGTCTACTCCCATTTGTGAGAACTCCCAATTGTGAGACTCCCAGTTATGAGACAGTTGAGTAAGTAATTAACAAAGAAAACACACCATACACCCCTGCCTGATAGAATGGATTAACCCTAGCTAATTACTGATTTGCTATGTAACTGAATCTTTTGGAGGTAACTTAATGAAACTTTATAAGATATATTGATTAAAATACTCCAGTAAATGTCCTTAAAAATTACACACTTTGATAATGATAATAAAATATCTTAAACCAAAATGACTTTCAACCTTCATATTAGTCAATAAAAATATGTTATCATAATTACATATTCTTCTGAATAAATAAAATATTTAATGAACTATTTCTTCTTTGTAAATAAAATCTTTGATAATCTATTTCATTAATCAACTCATCAATGAACTATGCCTCCTGTGGGTACTCTTCAACAACTGGGCTGATCACACTTTCATTGTTGGGATGTGGAAACACCACCTATGTGCACTGAACCAATAATTAATGTGTCTCACAACTGGGAGTTCTCACAAATGGGAGGACACCTTATAGGTGAGGTGAAATTGGATTTGACGTCGTGCTTGAGAAAATTTCGATCATATGACGACGTGCATGCGTGTGTATGTGTATGTGCGGTTGCTTGTACTAGCCCAGACTTAAGCTGCTTAGCTGGTTTTATAGTGCTAGCCCACTGAGATACCATGCCACAGGTAGGCATGAATACCCCACTCAGACGCATTATACTGACTCCGAGCCGACCAGTCCTTGTTGTACCCATTTATGGCTAGCGCCAGGCAGGGACCAACAAGTACCACATTTTAACGTCTTTTGGTATGACGCGGTCGGGAATAGAACCCGCGACCTTCCGCTCTCCGGGCTGACGCTCGAACCACTACACCACGGAGTATATTATACCAATTGTGTATATAGAAGTGTGTAATAGAACGTTTTTAGTTTCCGCGTGGATCGGTTTGTGTATCGGTTGCTGGCGTTGTAGATGCAGTTGTAGTGTCCCACATCAGCATGTCTCGACTCACATACTGTATTTCCATATTGACAGAAATGAATATTTAAGTCATTGGTTGTAGCAAGAAGGATTAAAACTGTATTAATGACTGATGCAGGGGCGGATACAACTTTTGAGAAAAAATAGGGGATGCTAAGTTCAGTAAGGGGGATGCACAGTTCATTTCACCCGTTTTCACGAGAGTTTCAGTGGTCATTTAATAAACTTTCAGGACAAAACGGGGTAGGGTGTGCGCCTCCCTACACCCCCTCTCTGGATCCGCCTATGCTGATCGGCAGAAGTAGCCAAGCTTCTCAATAAGGAATCCTGTCATAACCTGTCCTAATGCTATGGCGATAGACACCGAGCTATCTGTCATCACTATAGCGAATGTCCTGGTAGCGTGGGTCTTCGTCACGTCGGCTGCATAGACCATGTTGGCAAGAAGGAAGGTGCTTGTTAAACCGGATAACCCCTCCAGGAGGGTCCCGAGGATGAGGAAGTTGAGATGAAGATGGAACTTGACAACCAGTATTAAACATACATATTTACAAATACATCCTAGAATCGGTAAACAAACAGCATCTTCCTGCCGATGTGGTCCGAGTAGGACCCCACGACCATGTTCACGATGACCGGGGGGAATCTGAAAAACACAGGCATAGCTTCAGGATCTCGGAAGACGTGGACTGCTGAACAAGCACTTCCATCTCATCAGCTTCCTCGCTGTTACTTGCAAAACCTGTCCAGGAGATTCCATATTGACAGAAATGAGCATTTATTTCATTGGTTATGGCAAGCAGGACTACTGAAGTTTCCAGTGCTAAGTATTCTTGAATGCAGTCCTAACCGACGCACTGTTAAACTGCCATTGGTGTTTAAAGTTACATGGGTTTATGGGGATTTCTGTGTGAAGGTAAAAATACATGTGTGTACAATGCCCCAGTCGTTTATGTGCATTGAGGTTACGTTTGGAACCTTTATTTGTTATCATCTATTGACTATGCGGTTGTGTCATGTTTAAAGGAAACGATTCGGTATATTATAATATGTTTCCATCCACATGTGAGTACGTTAACCCGCCTTTCTCACAGAGTATTAAACAGTCAATTCCTAAGTAAAGTCGGGGTCATCAGTTTAAAGTTTAGGCTGATAAACACTACTTCTTTTTTTTTGACATTGTAAGTACATAGTCATTCAAAATCTGCTGAAATTGAATAAGTGTTCTTGATGGATAGAAGGGCATGCATACTTTCTACAGGTTATACAAGTGCAATATTGCTGATTTCACCTAAACTCTAAATAGCTAAATATCGTTAATGCATTTGGTATAGTCGCAAAAATCCTGAGAGTTGTGTGTTTGGAATGTAGTCAACCAAGCCCATATTGCACACACACTCACGTAGTGAGATACAAACCCGTGAAGATCCGAGTTAGAATTGGTCTTCAGTCGTTAGAGGCGACTTGGTTGACACATGTCATCGCATCCCAATTGCGTAGATCGATGCTCATGCTGTTGATCACTGGATTGTTGATCCAGACTTGATTATTTCCAGACTGCCGCCATATAGCCGCTCCTCTCACTCTTTCTCTCTCTACATATATGTGTGTGTGTGTGTGTGTGAAAATTGTTGCATATTTTGTTTCTGAGTGAATCTTTTAAATGTTATGATGTCATTTTATCTATCAGGTTCTTGAGAGCCATATATGAGTTGGTATTCAAGTATAAGACAAAATATTATGGATGTCCACTTCTTCTTTATTGGATACACAACGTTTCTGGGCTATTCCTTGCCCCTTCAGGTGACGAACGGGCAAGGAATAGCCTAGAAACGTTGTGTATCCAATAAAGAAGAAGTTGACATCCATAATATTTTGTCTGATATTTTATCTATGTTGTAATTCTACATGGTAATGATTTGATCATGATTTGATAGTGTGTGTATGTTAGTTTCCTAACAGTCAAAGTGTGTGTTACCTTCCAGTAGGCAAACTTATAAATATGAAAGAAAATCTGCATTATATAATATCAATTTCCATTTATAGTGAGGAAACCAAATACACTTTGACGTGAAGGACCTCCACCGTGACCTCGTGGAAAGTGCATCTGCTTGGTGACCAGTGCTCGTTGGTTTGTGCACAGAACTCCGGACGACTGCAAGCAGCGAA